ACTGTGCACACTCTTTTGTGCCTGTCTTCTTCAACTCAATCTTATGTTTGTGAGATGCATCCATGTCATTGTGCACAGTTTTAGCTTGTTCATTCTCATCACATACAGTTCTTGACTGTATGAATATACCACAATTTATTTATCCCTCCTACTGTCGATGGACAGTTTCATTGTTTCCGATTTGGGATGTAACAAATAAAGCTCCTATGAACATTTTTTTATATGTCTTTTGTTGAACCCATGGTACATTTTGTTGAATATAGGTGTTATACACACATATATATATTTTGTTGTACATGTGTTACACATATGAACATATGTACATACATGTAGGAATGAAACCACTGGGCATAAGGCATGAATATTTTCAGCTTCAGTAAACACTGCCAACCAGTTAATGAAAACAATCAAGCATTTTTCTTACTTTTCTTATAAAAGCTGAATTTCAAGTTAACAAAATATTTGATAAGGAAAACCTCCTATTCATAGAAAAATTCCTTCTAATAAATGAGGAGAAAACGATATTAGAAAATGACCATTTTCCAATCCCTGATAAAGTAATGGGCCTAAGCAAAGACTGTCACCAGCAAATGCTAAAACCGTTAGGTAAAAGGGAAACGGATACTCTCAAATGGATGGTTCAGGGTGACAGCAGCTAAAGCAACTAATCAGTGCTAGTATACTAAAAGGGGGACAACACAGATATTATGTACGTCCTCATGTGATGCAAAGAAAAGTCACCTCATGAAACATTCTTGTCAAAGTAAGACTGAACCTAAATGTAATCAAACCTCTCGATCTAACTATCGTTCATAGGAAATGCAGGGGAAAGAGGAACAATTTAATGATACCACAAAGAAGCAATGAGTCAAATCTAGAATGTGGTAAGTCCTAAGGAAAACTGACCTAGTTATTCCAACAAATTAAGGGTATTTTAAAAAAAAAGGAGGGCGGCTATTCTTATCACTTAGGCTTACCAACCAAATGCAATCTATGGAGTTATGTAGATCCTAATTTGAATAACTTAAAAGAAACATTTTTTGGGACAATTAGGAAAATTTGAATATAAACTGCGTATTAGATGATAGGGAGAAATTGTTAATTTTTTTGAAAAATGGTATTGTGGTAATATTAAAAAATGTACATTAAAATATTCACCAGGAAAATGATATATGTAGGTATTCTTTAAAATATTTCGGCTTATTAAAAAAGTGAGAGAGGAAGATAAAACAAGACTGGCAAAATATCATTGATTGCTGAAGCAGACTGTATATGAGTATTCATTACTATTCTCTGTCTGCATGTTTGAAATTTTCCATGATAAATATTACTTCAAAAATTTTAAAATATGGCTTCCCGTGTGATGTAAGATAAAACCAGTGCTTCAGGGGAAAACTGCATCGTACAGACTCTAGATGACGCCCTGTTGATTATCTATTCTGTTTCTATCTAGGCTGTTTCACAACTCTTTAAATTATAGATAAGTGATAACAATGGCGAATAGCTCTGGTCTAACAGCATGCAAATTCTGTCCTACCTGGTACAGTTTCAGTTGACCTCCCCCATTCACTGGGGAAGAAGTTAGTTTTGTCTCCATTTCCACATTCATTTCAACATCCTTTACTTCCTATCAATGTGCCCTGTTCTAACTTCTCCTTTGAACCTCTTATAACATCTGTCACTTTCCCTGATTACAAGTTAAATAAAATCTTTAACACGTGTTCATTTCTATATCTGCATGAGAGTCATAATTTTACCCTTTTTTGAAAGTTATCTCTTAACAGTGATATACAGTATTCATGTCTTGTGAAGCCGAAAGTAAAATAAACTGATTAGTATACTTATGAATCATTAAGTGTTAATGAATAATTGTTAAACAATTTCAGAATAAATTGTAAGGTACTCACACAAATATTAACTAACTTTTCCTTCCAATTTTGTTTTTATTTCTTCATGCCATTAGTTCCAGAAACTCCTTTGGAATCTTTGTGCCAGATGCCTGGGTGCATTTGCTGTAAGCATGAAAACTCATCAGAGTAAAATATGAGTACAGCAAAACAGAAAACACTTCAAAACAAAAATTGAGTAACATCTGAAAATTTAGGCCAAGAATTCTAGACTTTGTATATAGATCCAAGATACATTCTTGAAAGACACAAGCATGGTCTGTGGTATTCAACAAAATGTAATCAAGTTTCAGTGTAGGAATCTCACTTACAAGTCTACTCTACCACTTCTCCAACTTTTCTTCTTTCTCTTTTCTTAACGATGCACTCCTTTCTTCAATGAGTCTAACTGTAGACATTGGAATTGCTTGATGTTTTAGTTACAGATATCCACTGCTACCACACTAGCTCCTGGGTATTTAGGAGCATCTCTCATAGCCATCTGGGCTCCATGTTGCTTCCATAGTCACTGAGTTTAATGGCAATCAATCAATCAGTAAATATTCTTTTGTGTTTATGAAAGTTTTACAAACGCAGAAATAACTTTGAGCTCCATATCAACACATAGCTCACTTCCGGAAAGGGATACTACAGCTTTGATACTATAGCCATGTCTGTGATCCCTTACTGAACGTTCTGCCTAATTCCAAAAAAGCAAATGCTAATTACTAAGAACAAGTAGAAGAATGTGATGAAAAAAATTTGAAAGAGAAAAAATATGCTATATATACTCTCTCATTAACTTACTTTTAAATCCTTTAAACTACTAGAGAGGACTGGCTTCCCTTGTAGTTTTAATTATTCAGAGCTCCAAGTAAGGCTTTGCACATTCCGCTCCTTGTAACTAGTACTTTCTTCTGGATCTCCTCCTGTCTCCTTCACCAGGCACACTTTCCTGATGCATCCACTAAGGCCAAGCAAACGTGGCCTCTCTGTGAAGCCTTCCCAGATCTCCTAAGCTAAGTCAAGGAGCCTTTCTGTACTCCCACAGCCCTTTCTCTTACCTCTTTCATCACAGTCTTCGTGTTGAATTTTAAACCTGTACTCCAATAGCTTTCCATCTCACTCTAAGTAAAAATCAAAGCGTGGAATCTCCACCCCTCAATACAATGGCTTTCTCACTGGATTCTGATTATTTACTCTACTGGCTTCCCAGCTCCCTCAGAAGAGAAGTCAAAGCCTGCGGCCCTGATATCCTGGATATCCCTGCGCCTGCTTCCTCACCTCTTTCCAGTGTTTATTCAAACATCTCTGTAGGTGCTGTCCCCCTTCCTTGCTTTATGTTTCCCCATTGTACTTACCACCATCTCTCATACATATTTTGTTACTTATTTATCTTGTTAACAGCCTGTCTCCCTCCACAAGAATGAAAACTCCCTGATGACAAAGGTTTTTGTCTGTGTTGCTCACAGGTGTACCGCAGCACCTAGAACAAAGTCTGGACACAGCAGTCATTCAGTAACTATTCTTTTGGCAGTTTCTCTTACCATCCTCTGAGCTTCTTGAAGGCAAAGATTGGTTTTATTTGTTTGTGCAGTTCTAGCATTTCCCTGTCACATTGTACATATTCAGTAAGAACTAGTCTCATGGCCTCCCCCTTGGGGAAACAGGCCAATTCTAGGATAGTTACAATGGGGTGAGATGAAGAAAAGTCCAATTTGATATCAGCCCTGCTATCAGTTCCCCAACATCAAACCCAGCATGTATGGGGCTGAAACCGAAAGCACTCATATGTAAATATGTATTTCTTTAAACCTTGACTCCCTGAGCTTTACAACCAAATAGAAGTTACAAATTCTTAACGCCCAGGTGGCTTCAGCTGGGTTCACACTAAAGTCTTCACTAATCACAGGTCCTTGAAGTCTATTACAGGGAAACTGATGTCCCGAGAATATCAAGAAATTGAAGCTTCCCAGTTTCCTGGCACCAGAATCCACTATCCACTAAGAAAAGCCACCCATGGAATTCCTTATCTCCCCCTTTCTGCAAGCAGCCTCTCCAGGCCAAAGGCAGGCTGGTGGGGGGAAATGCTGGCCAACAAGGCTACATGCCCACTCCCCTACCTAAAAGCCCCCCCAAAAAGCACCTGCTTGTAGCTTTTCAGGGAGTTTGGGATTACAGTGTTAGCTGTCCATTCTCCCTGCTCAGCACTTCGCAATAAAATTCTTAGTTTCTTCCACTACACCCCGTGTCAGAGATTGGCTTGCTGAGCAAGGGGTGAGTGAACTCACTTCAGGTTTGATGTCAAATTTACCAACCTTTCTGGTTTCCACATCATTTCCTGGCTTCATCGTCATTACTCGGGATCACATAGATGAAGTTATATAAGGACTTCGGACTGTATATTGAGAGACTAGATATGGTGGTGGAGTGTAACAGAGGAAGTATGAGGTGTTTAAAAAGATTTTTTGGCACTTGCTAGTCATTTATTTGTATACGTCACTAACAAGGAAAGGTGCCAAGAACTAAGAAGATTTTGCGGGGCTTGGGAGGAAGGAGAAGAGTACTGTCAGTTAAGGCGGCATTATGAAATGTGTATTTAGAAACCACTCTTTTTACACACTTTGAGTTGGGGAGTCAGTTTGGAGGCTTAATGGAAGGAGTACGGAGCAGGGCTCATAAAGGAGTCTGCCACGGTGCCAATAAATGTTTATTCGAAGGTTCCTTCCAGATCCGAGACAAACAATGAAGAGAGAAAGAAGAGGAAGGAAGGAAGGAAAGGAAAGGAAGAAATGAAGAGACAGAGAAAGAAGGAAGGAAAGAAGAAAAGAAGGGAGGGAAGAAGAGAGTGAAGGGAGGGAAGAAGAGAGGGAGGGGAGGGAAGAAGAGAGGGAGGGGAGGGAAGGAAGGAAGGAAGAAAAAGTCTCCAGCAGATTATTTTTAAAACATCCGAACTAATCACAGTTAAAGTTGGCAAACTTTTTGACATCGTCCCCTTGGCGCTGAACACCAGCAACTTCCCTGCCTGGGGGAAGTTTCAGATTGTTCTACAGAGCTTTCAGAACGGTCAGCACCGTGGGCACACCACGTGGTTTCCTCTCGGGTGGCAGCGCCGCCCCAGCCCTCGGCCTTGTGCGAGGCCCGCCGCGGGGCGGGACGGTGGGTCTGCGCTGGGCAGCGGCCACCGGAGGAGGGGCCGAGGGTGGCGCGGAGCCCGCGGTTATTGCCGGCCGCCGGGCACCGGCGGGCATGGCAGCGATGCGGCCGGGCCCGGCGGCGGGGCTGCAGCTGAGCGCGCTGCCCGACCACTCGCCGCTGCTGCAGCCGAGCCTGGCGGAGCTCCGGCGGCGGGCCCGCGCGGCCGGCGTGCCCGAGACGCCGCTGCCGCTCACCGACTCCTTCTTGCTGCGCTTCCTGCGCGCCCGGGACTTCGACCTGGACCTGACCTGGCGGGTAAGGGGGCCTCCCTGCTCGCTCCACCCTGTGCCCCGGGCTGAGTCCGTGTGGCGCTGCCAGACTGCCGCGAAAGCCCAAGTTGCAAGCCGGACCTCGGTGGGAACACGCCCCTAACGCACTGGGCGCGGGCTCTGTGGCTACAGGTGTTCTGAGAAATCCCGCACCGGTCCTTCCAGTTTCTCTGGGTCATGGAAATGGGAAACCTAGAAAAAGCTGGAGCCCTCTGGGGTGATGGCCCATTTGACCCCAAACACTTAAACTCTGCCCTAGAGGAGTCCGCCGAACCTGTGAAGTTTTGGGGAAACGCCTTTCCTCTCTCTGGCAGGAAGCCGTTGATATAAAACAAAGTAACACCTGAGAAGTAGAAAGGCTAAATTGATCACATTTTAGTAGATGTGGCGCGGAAAATGAAAATGCCAGTAAAACTGAAGGTCTAAAGCCAAATTCTGGCAAAATAGTATTATTAATAGTAATGCTTAAGTGTCGAGACAGGAAAGCAGTCCAGTATATTTTGAGTGGAAAGGTGGGGGTGAGGCTGTTCTTTTGTGTTTCCAGGTACAGGACAGCTAGTTGGGAGAAGGGGTGTTGGGAAGAGAGGCATCAGAAAGAGCGATGCGACCTTGAGTTCTGTCCCTTCGCCCTCAGCATCCTTATCTATTAAGTAATGGTGAGAACGCCTACCTCGTTGACTCGTTTCCAGGATTGAACATTAACCAATTTAACAGAACAAGACCTACGCAGCACAGAGCCAGGCACACAGTAGGCACCCAGCGACTGACCCCGAGCTAGCCCTGTCTCCAAGCGCCTTGCTCCTGGAGTTGGGAGGCAGAATCCAAACGTGTCTCAGATGAGGTTTTTTAATTGTTGATAACTGATTTTTAATTGAAAAAGTAAGGAGTGGGGGGTGGTAAAAAAAAAAGATCCATAGATAGTAAAGAGTGTAAATAAATGTCTAAAAGCAACTTTCTAAAGGAAAAAATTTCCCCACCCTAAACCTTAGTTGGCCAGCCCCCTCACCAGAGGCAGTACTCTTCCCTGTTTCTTCTTTATCTTTCCAGATATAGTCTACGTGCACACAAGCGTATGTACATGTTTTGCATTTTGCCTTTTTTACCTAATTTATCATAGAGATCATCCTATTTCAGCATGTGTGCGTATATCGTATTCTTTTGTGGGCTGTATACTATTCCATTGCATGAATTTATTATATTAAAATTTATTTACCAGTCCTCGTTATTGGACATAGGAGTTGGCCTCAGCCAGTGGCAGTGCTGCCATGCATGTTGTTCATTCCTTCACTCAGTGATTATTCCTGAACTCCTACAATTTGCTTGGCAATACACCAAATGCAGTAAACTAGACGAGAGTATTCTAATATGTCTTTGTACATTTGTCTTTGTGAAAAAATAGGAATGTGTCCTTATAGGTTAAGTTCAACCTGCAAACTTCCAGGATGAAGTGAGAGGTGCGTTTTCAGTGTGGACGAATATAACGACTATCCTCCAAAGTGTCTGCACTAACTTTATCACTTCTATATTACCCAATGATGTATCTTTTTCTCCATATTATCACCCACATTGTATTATGAAACATTGTGATCTATCTGTCAGCCTGGGGGGTGAGGAATTGATTCTCATTATTATAATATGCATTTAATTACAAGTGAGGTTAATCACCTTTCATATATTTAAAATTTTAAAATTGTTTCCTAGTTAATTGCCTGTTTTTGCCATTTGTTCATTTGGTTCAGTTTTGTTTACATAAAATATACATAAAATATAAAATATCTTTATTCATAAAGTATCTTTATGTATTAAAGAAAATAAGCCTTTGTCCCGTTGTCTTTGACATTTTACTATTTTCTTTGTATGCAGAATTTTAAAATTTTTATGTAATCAAATATATTGATTAGATTGCCCTCCAATTGCTTCTGGGTTTTTTTTTTTTTTTTTTTTTGCTGAGAAAGATTGGCACTGAGCTAACAACTGTTGCCAGTCTTCCTCTTTCTCTCCTTTGTTTATGTGAGCCCTGGCCACAGTATGGCCACCTAACAGACGAGTGGTATAAGTCCGTGCCAGAAACTGAATCTGACTGCGGACGGAAGTGGAGCATGCCAACTTCACCCCTAGGCCACTAGGACTGACCTGCTTCTGGGTTTTTAAGCTCTTCTCCTCTCCAGAATTTTCTCTAATAATTTACGACTTTTCTTTTTACTATTGGAATTGTTGATCTACTGGGATTTACTTTGATGTTAGGAATGAGGTAGGAATCTGCCTTTATTTATTTTTGTTTGGTCAGCTGACTACCCAGGTGTCCCAGCCTCATGAGTAATAAGCTAATATTTACTCAGCAGCTACTAAATATGAAGACACCATCTCAGGTCCTATGAAAGTGCAGTTTAAATGAGGCATTAAACATATATATGTGTAGAGGCAACTAACATTAAAAAGCGTATGATTTATAGATTTCATTTTAGCTGCTTTTTAAAAGTAATGTCTAAACAGAAGAAATAAAATTTACCTGCAGCCTCTGTTGTTTTTTTTTTTTCTGTATACTTTATTTTCCTGAATTGTTTTCACTGCTCCATGTCCTTGAGGAATTGGCTAATAGGACTGTGTCTAAAGCCACTGGATAGGGATCAAGTTTCTGTCTGTGAACTCATTGCCTGACTTTTCTGCCAACATAAAAAGGAAAGGAAAAGGTTAGAATGTAAAACTATTTTGTCATTTTCCTCCACAAAGGCAGTTAATTCAACTCAGACTCCCTTCTTTACAATAGAAAAGCTCTATAGTTTTAGTGTATGAAGAAAGCTTGATAAGTCCCTCAGTTATAATGAAATTTCTCATTGTTCTAGCTTTTGTATTTGAAGTTATAACAAAGTAAAGAGGTTTTTATAATTCTGATAGCTTATGCAGTGCCAGGTACTTTGGTTATTAGTGTTTGTGTGGATTATCTCAGTATTTCCTCATTTTAGAAGAAACTGAGATGTTGAGAGTAAATAGTCCGAAATCACAGTCAAGTGGTGAGCAGCGATTTGAACTTGGGTTGACCCCAGGCGAGCCTGTGCTCGCACGTACACCAACTACTCCGGCCCTTCTGTTTAAAACAGTGAACATGAAAACAAACAACTGTTAACATCTGTCTGTTCTACATATGTTTGTGAATTCCTGTCTTTCACAAGTGACGTGTCCATTCCTTATATTTTTGCTCCATATGCTAAGTTTTTTATCCTTTAAGCATTTTTATGGTTTTCCCAAAGACTTCAAAGCTTTCAAAGCTCCACTGACTCCCTGCTAATTACCCTCTAAACGTAAAATTTCCCTCGTGTAAAATGTGTCATATCACATGTCAGTTTCAGTCTGCACTCTGCTCTGAGCGTTATTGCCCTTAAACAAGTGTGTAACTTCTCTGAACTTTAGTTTTCTTATCCATAAAGTGGGGTAACAATAGTTACCTCTCAGCGTGGTTGTGAGGAATTGAAATAATGCCGTTAAACCCTATTAAAATAGCCCAAATATGGTTATTTTGTTTGAAAGTATGTGAAAAGTGTAAGAAGAAACCTGCTCTATTACAAGCACAGTTAAAATAAACCATAACTTTTAATATTTATTTATTCCTACCTGTGGTACAAAACAAGTGCCTTCCAATAATGAATACTCCCTTGCAGCCGATTTTGTTGTTGTTGTGGACTTTCAGTGGTTTGTTCGAGAATTGCTCAGTAGCAGTTTACATTGTTTGCATAATTCGTTTATGTCAACTGGACCTTTGAATTTATTTATAAGTGGAAAAGTAATAATGAAAGATCCAGGCTTAGATCTTTCAACTTGCAAGAGTTAAATGTCAGAGGCATGAGAGTGATTTGTGCATCTTTACAAAAATAATTTTTTCAAGTATGTGGATCCAGCTGTTTTACTCATGCATTAATTTAGTCTTTCATTCAACACATGTACCTGTCTCTATTACCTAAAAGAACCCTTTTTTTAGGATGATTAGCCCTGAGCTAACTACTGCCAGTCCTCCTCTTTTTGCTGAGGAAGACTGGCCCTGAGCTAACATCCGTGCCCATCTTCCTCTACTTTATATGTGGGGCGCCTACCACAGCATGGCATGCCAAGCAGTGCCATGTCCACACCCGGGATCTGAACCAGTGAACCCCGGGCCACCAAAGCAGAACATGCATACTTAACGGCTGCGCCACTGGGCCAGCACCTGTAAAAGAAGCCTTTTAATGAAGCCATGACTTTATCATTGCATGGGAAAATAAAATTGTAATTTCTGTGTAGGAGTTAATAAGCCGCTTCCAGCATTTGCTTGAATCAGAATTAAAAGAACTATTTTTATGTGTGAGGGAACTATCAAAAAAGTAATAAGCATTGTCAAATGCTATTAACACTTGTTTTGATGCCCCCTAAGACAGGAGGAAGAAGAAGAGAAATTCATCTTATAGAGTAGAAGGAATATATCAGAATCTACAATGTGCCTTTTGTTCTTACTGCCTTTGGAATCTGCTATTTAGGTCACCAATTATTTCTTTGTTGGCAAATTTACCAACTTCCTTCCTTTCTTACCTCTCGGTTGCATTTAACTCTTAGCTGCATTCTCTTTTTTTAAACAGTTAAGGTAAATTTGTTAGATGCACAAATGAAAAAGAGAGAGAAAGAGAGGGAGACAATATCAGAGAGAGAGAAGGAGAGAGGATCAGAGCAACACAAACACCTTTTTCCTCCCTTCTGTACACCGTAGTGCCATTTCTCCTATACTCCAACCAGCTTCTCTCTTCCTCCAGCCGTTCCCAGACATTGACCTTTCCCAGGGCTCCGAATTTCAACCTCTACTTGTTTTTGTCAAATTTGTACTTGTAGTTTCTCTTCTGATTGATACTGCTTTGTGGTTACAGTGACCATGTTTATTTCAGTGACTCTCAGATATAACATTTGTCCTTTTCGTTCATCTGAACTTCGGTTCCACATTGCTAATAGATCTCTTTAAACTCAAAACAAATATATTGTCATTTTTGAAAAATTGAGAATGCTGAAAATCATAGAGGAAAATTAAAATATAATAAGTTTTAAATGTATAATTTGATTTTAGTATTCTTCACAATACACTGGCAATATTTGTATTCTTTGTATATGGAGAGTAACCATTATTTGTGGTTCTTTTGGGAAGAAAAGGAAACAGGATTCCTTCAAACCATATTTTGCTAAGTCCTAATACCCAGGCATAGTGTTCCACAGGTGCTCTGAGTGCGCTCCACTATTAACAAAGCTGATTTTTGTTGTTTTTCTATTAGTAAAAAGTATAGAAGTGGTATAGAGATGTCCCTTTGTATCTTTGATTGGCTCTTTTTCATAGGAAAGATAATAAATACCAAAAGATTCTAGTTATTTTTAATATAAACCTGCACTAAATACTTGGATGATTAATCCCAATAACATTTCCTTTTATAAGAATAGCAGTATTAACTACGACTCCTTACACCCATGCATGCTTTATACATGACCCTACAAGGCGGATATTGAGGAAACGAGACTTGGAGGAGTGAAACACTTACCTGAGGTCACACAGATGATATAAGGAGGAGCCAAGGTTTTTCTGAAGAAGACACGGCACAGCCTGTAGAGTCCAGTTGTCACCAACAGGCCAGCTCCCAGGATAACAGAGATTTATTCTGTTCACTGCTGTCACTCAAGGGCCTAAAACAGTGTGTGGGACATTGTAGATACTCAAACAGTATTTGTAGAGTTAATTCATTTGATTAATTTGCATTCCTCCTTATTTCAAAGAAAGACTAAAGATGGATGTTTCAGTTACCTGTCGCTGAGTAAAAGAATCAGCCCACAATTTAGTGGTTTAAACCACAACAATTTGTTTGTGATTCTCCAGTTCGGGCAGGGCTTGATGGGGACGGCCCATCGCTGCTCCACATCGCATCGGATGGGAACGCCGCTGAGGTCAGACCATCTAGGACGGCCTCTCACCCTCCAGGGTCTCTCTGTGCATGGACTCACCATTTAGTATCTTACCTGTTGTCTGGATCCCAAAAAGCCAGAACAGAAGGTCCTAGACTTCTTAAAACCTAGCACAGTGTCACTTCTGCCACATTCTAGGAGTCAAAGCAAGTCGTAAGGCCAGCCCAGTTCATGAAGAAGAAATCAGGTGGATTCCACTTCTGGGTGGGAGGGATGGCCTGTGTACACCAGCAGGGGAGGAGTGGTTGGCAGTCATCTTTGGAGACCATTTCCCTCAGGAGACAAAGGGAAATTACCAAACTTTGAATTTGTGATTAACGTCTGTCACCTGAGATGCTTGATGAGGAAACTTTTAGTTTTTACAGCTAAAAAAATGGCCAAGTGAATATTCTGACATAATAGATGGCAGGGGCCATACATAAAGCCAAGGCTTTCTTCCCATTTTCACAAAATGCTTACCGTGTATGCCGTCTGCAGACAATTTTAATTTTATTTTTCAGTTACTAAAAAATTATTATAAGTGGAGAGCAGAATGTCCAGAAATAAGTGCAGACCTACACCCTAGAAGTATTCTTGGCCTTCTGAAAGCTGGCTACGTTGGCGTCCTGAAAGCCAGAGATCCCACCGGCAGCAAAGTTCTTATTTACAGAATTGGTAAGTCATACACAGCACTTCTTTTTTATTTTTCTTGACTGCCATATAGACAGCTTCAATGAGTCCATATTTAAGTAGTTAGGCTTTTAGGTTTTTAACTTAGGTTTAAGTTAGATTTTAATTCCCCTCCAAATATCGTAAAACTGGCAGTTGTGAGAAAATTAACAAAAACCAATGAAAATCCTACTTCCATTCTTCCACACAGTCAACTGTATAAAATAAGAGACAAAGAAAACAGGGAAGAGAAATAGGGGGAAAAGGTGAAAAAGACTAAGGTAAAGAGTTTTGAAAACACTTAGTAGGAAATCCAAATAAGGATCCTGAACTATAATAATAGAACCTCCATAAAAGCATGGATTTTGTCTGTTCTGTTCTGGTGCTCGATGTATCCCAAGCACCGAAACCAGGGCCTGGCACATGGTAGGTATTATTAAATATTTTTGAAGCGAGTGAGTGAATGAATAGTTGAATGATGCCCCAGGTTGAGGAGCAAGAAGCTCATTGCCTGGACAGAGGAAGACGCAGTGGGAAAGCAGCTCCCCTGGGAAGTGTTGACAACACTGAATTCCACATGCCCCTCTTTGTTTTCAGTGCTTCTCTTTTCCACCATTAGGCCTTCCTAGTGTTTCTTGTAAGTTGGTGATCTATAACCTATAACTTCTGCCCCTTCCTTAGACATGTGTGTGACTAAAAATGGTGTGTAACTGAGAAGGACTTGTACTGCTCCCAGCATCCTCTCATGACCCAGTTGAAAGGACAAAGATAACCAACATTTCATGAGCAGAATCCTATGAATTATAGTCTTACAGAAACTTCTACATCTGTAAATATTCTAGAGAACTTTGAAATTTTTGTAGAGTTGCCTTTCCTGCCCACTTAGAGATAAGATATCTGCCTATAACTCAACTGTTTGCTTTCTTGCAAGAAGACACTGCATTTAATTCTTGAAAGGGATCAGAAGTCTGAGTAGAATGATGCTAGTTTTCTGCTCCAGCTTATGTGTCAAATGCAAACTGGATTAATCATGAAGCCATTGCCTATAAAACAGACATCAGAATGTCTTTCCTGTCCTCTCATTGCCCCACCAGTGTTATAGGATGTTGAATGACATTCCCTAAGTTCCTTGGGGTAGGGTTGCCAGATTTAGCAAAGTGTGTTTTATGTAGCAAGTAAACCTATATTTTATAAAAATAGAGTGTCCAGTTACTTTTGAATTTCAGATAAACAATAAATAATTGGGGCCTACTTATACCAAAAATATGCATCCTGTTAGCTGAAATTCAACTTTAACTGGGCATCTTATATAATATCTGGCAACCCTACTCAGGGGTCCCAGGAACATAAAACTGAAACCTACGGATGATTCTTTCTGCAGGTGTCCAGGCTCTGCATTGTCTGGCTGGAGTTTTTTTGAGTTTGTTTATAAACTAACTGGAGCAAGTTGAAAAGTAAAAATGATACTTTGACGGTGAAAAAGCAAATGGCTACTTACCACTGAATTGATAATTTTTTATTGTCTAGCTAAGGTCTCTTGTCATATATTAATTTATAAGTGTACTGTTTAACTCAAAGAGATTTTAAAATAAAAAAAGCATGTAGGTTTGGTGATGGTCAGAACCGGAGGGTATGCAGCAAATCTCCTGTTATTTTAGGGTGAATAACGCATGTTATTCTAGGGTGAAAAGGAGAAACTCAGAAGAGTTTTATGAGTAAAACAAAAAGATGGGATAAAGATTTACAAATTTTCTAAATTTAAACTCAATTAATGGGAGGAACTAAAAAAGGATGTCTATGGTAGAGCTTTTTGGTAGAACATTAGCATAACCACCTTCCCTGGGTACCATCTCTATGCAGGAGAAGCGGTGAGAAAATGCACAGAGCCTTTTTCTCTTGTCCAGCAGGGCGACCCAAGGCAAAACTAAGTTTTTGCCATTATTAGCCTACAAGCCAGAGGATGTAATTTTATGCCTTTTGAGACTGACTGCTGTACTACAACAGCAAAAGTAACATTTAACAGTGAGTATTAAGTTTTGACCATGGCTTAGTTCTTAAGAATGCAAGTTCTAGGGCACGTTGCCTGGGCTGGAATTTCAGCTCTGCTGTGTTCTAGCTACATGGAAAGCTGTGTAGCTGTAACTCCATTTTCCCTTCTGTCAAATGGGCATAGTAAAAACCTATTTCATAGGGTTGCTGTGAGCATTAAATCTTGTAACACATATAAAATACATAATTAGAACATTACCTGGTATATAATATGCACTCAATAAATGTTAGATATATGCCGGAAAAGGAACTGAAAATTTAAGCCATGTTTTTCTTTTGTGTTAAAGGAGCTTAGAGTGTAGACCCGCACTATCCAGTAGAACTTTCTATGATAATGAAATTGTTCTACAGTAGCCACTAGCCACAAGTGGCTGTTGAGCACTTGAGATGTGGCTATCGCAACCAAGCTACTGAATTCTTAATTTTATTTAATGTCAATTCGTTTACATTTAAGTAGCCACTTGTGGCTAATGGCTACAGTATTGGATAGCACCAGTCTAGACCATGTTGGTGGGCTCAGAAATTTAGGTGAGTAACTATTTTCTGAACTGCAGACTTTCAGTCGTTCCACTCACATTTTTCATCATTGTAGCTTTCAGCCAATGTCTGAAGTACTACAGTATATTTGAGCTGGGTTATCTATGAATTGGTTACTCAAATTCTTACCAGGAATCTGAGACTTTTAAAAAACAAGGGGCAATCCCCTTGCACCTTCCCTAATACTTCTGATTATCTCTTCTCTTTCTATATCTTCACATTTTTCCTTGCTTTGGACGCTACCCGTTAACATTTACATCTGTTAAGGGTCAGCCATCCAAAACCAAACAAAAGCTCCTCCTCATCTCCACAAGACCCTCCAGCTGTCTCCCTACTCCTCTCATTCTCAGCCACATTTCTTAAATTAGTAATGTTCACCATCCATATTTTTTCACAGTTCCTCTCAATCCACCCTGATCTGGTTTCACCCCTACCTCTCTGCTAAAATGACCTTAAAAATCATCAGTGACCTTCTTTTCACCAAAACTAATGGATACATTTAGTCCTCTTTTACTTGACCTCTCCACACAGCAAACCACTTCCTCTTTCTTGAGACATCCTCTCCACTTGGCTTCTCTGATCCCACATTCTCCTAGGGTTTTCCTCCCGCTTAACTGGCTGCCCCTTCTCATTAGTCTCCTTTGCTAGCACCACCTATTCTACTCACCCTTTAAATTCTGAAATTCCTTAGGACATTGGCCTCACCTTCCTCTTCTTATGCTACTTTATCTCTCTCCTATAACAAAGATAAACACGGATCTAAGATAATTGCTGTCGCAGGCTGTCATATAAACTTAAACAACTCTCAGATTTGTGTCTGTACCCCATCACCTCCCTGTCTCCAAAGATCCATACAACCAGCCCTCCATTCCAGCTTTATCCAACTGGATGTCTCACAGTCACCAATTTTAACACGTCCAAAACTACTTATGATCTTTTCTTCACAAAACGTTTCTCTTCCAGTGTTTCCTATGTCAATAAATGGTACCGCCACTCTACCCAGTTGTCCAAGCCAGAAACTTTGGTTTATTGAAATTTTACCATTACTTAGTCATGAACTTTTTTTACCCTTTTACTTTTGTCTTTTTAGGCACTCCATGGACCCTTCAACCTGAAAACTTGCATCTATTTTGGCTTTGGAAGATTTTTCTCTACTGTTACTATTCCTCTCTCTTCTGTTCCCTGTTCTCTGTATTATTGCCTTCCAGAACTCTAATTAGTTGGATGTTGAAACTTCTGGATCTAGCTATATGTGTCAACTTTTTATTTATACCTGTCAACTCTTGGCTCTTGTGTGCTGAGTTTGAGAGAATTGCTGAGCTTGATGTTCCAAACCAATATTCACTCATTGGCTGTGTCTTTTCTATCATTTGCCCCATCAACTGAGATTTGCTTGGATTATCCAAGATTCCAACTGATTCTTTTTATCAAGAGCATGTTCTTATAATAACAGCCTCAGTAGCTTTTTTTTCCCCACTGAAACTATTTTTCTTCTTTTCATGTCTCTTGCTTTATTAACTGTTTCTTTGGGTTTAGTGCCTTTGTCTATTGAGTTTGGTTCCTCTCTTCTTTGTGTGTGTTTTTAAAAGTATTATAATTCTTAGTGGATGCGTATCTTTTTTAAAGATTACCTGCTTGCCTGTCCATTACTGTCATTTCTGCATGTCATGGCCTGCCTCAGGGATGGCAGGAGGAGGGGAGTAAACAATATCAGTAACTCCTCTTCTTAGAACAGGTACTCCCTGTTTGTCCTGGGTGTGGATGGCTACCTGAGTGCTTCCTTGACTCTGCTTTCTAAAGCCTATGCTTACCTTTCTAGCCTACACAGACATGGCTGCTACATGTTGCTTGTCATTGAGGGATGTCAGAGAGATGAGCCTGCCTGTCTGCTCTTCATGCATTTCCCTTAGCAACCTCTTTGGTTGCTATAGGGTCCTAGATACTCTTCATAATCCAGGCCCTTGCTTTTCCCATTTCCAATACCTCTCAGTTTGGAGCATACCCAGAGGCATTCCCATCCTTAACTACAGCCCTCTTTTGCATTTTTGGGGCTGTAGTTTCATCTGGCAATCAAATCCAGCCTGCATTCATTCCTTTTTTTCCCTTATGTTCTTAAAAATCTGATCTTTGCTAGGGATCTGAGGAGGGAGGGAGAAGCAGGCCTGTGTTCTTGGACCATCAATTTGATCTATTATTCAGTTCATGATTTTTGTACTTGTTTTTATTTCTACTGATCTTTTAAGTCTAAAAAGAGTTGGTTTGCCTTTGTAAGTCTCTCTGATTCTTTACACAATGCTGAGATATGCTATTTTTAATTTTTTTTTAGCACACTGGGACCCAAAAGTTTTCACAGCTTACGATGTATTTCGTGTAAGTCTAATCACATCAGAGCTTATTGTCCAGGAAGTAGAAACGCAACGGAATGGCATCAAGGCCATCTTTGATCTAGAAGGCTGGCAGTTTTCTCATGCATTTCAAATGACCCCATATGTAGCCAAGAAGATTGCTGCTGTTCTTACAGTAAGTGTATACTTTAACTCCCCGGGATGTTAATTCCAAATAATAAATTTAAATTTAGTTATATGTTAGACAAAGAGAAGGGAGGGTACATTTATTGAAAAGGTAAATAAAATTTTAGAAATGATATATAGAGTTCAATAATGCTAAGATGAAGTAAAGTATTATTGATTTATGAAAGAAAGGATGTTGCAAGAAACTGAAAATATGTTCAAAATTAATAACCACAGAATTTATCCATTTAAACAATAATGTGGTGACTTTATCTATCTGTTATTAAAATTTTCTTCCTAAATTAAAACATTGACTCAAAAAACAAGATTTATAGCAGTGGCACAGTACAATTTACATAAGTCTTGGTAGGTATAAATTGATACAGTTGTTTCAGAAATCAAAAGGTTTTTAAAATGGCCATCATCTTTGCCCAATAATTCTACTTTTGGGAACCTAGCCAAAGAATAATCTTAAGTATAGTAAAGACTTTGTATGTAATAATAATAGCTTACTATGTGCCAGGTACTTTGCTAAACGTTTCAAGTACATTACCCCTAAATGGCCACAGAAGCCTATGACATATGACTATTATTTTTCCCATTTTATGAATTAATCACTGTGTCACAGAGATGATACAGCAATGCCCAAGCACACACATTTTGTCATCAGTGAAGCAGGGATTTCAGTCCAGGTCGTCTGAATGTAAAAATTGCGCTTATAGCCACCATTGCCTTCTACAGATAAAGACAGTTACTATAGCATCAGTTTTTATAAAAGAAAATTAGAAATAGATTATTTTTCCAGAAATAGGAAATGGTTATTTAAATTATAGTACATCCATGTGATGGATTATTGCAATAATATTAAAATTCATAACGTTTACAAAAATTGTACTATATCAATGAAACAAAATGGCGCAAATTTTTCAGACAGCATATCAGCAATTATGTTTAAAATAAAATTATTCATAGAAAGAACCTGGAAAGAAAAATCCCCAGACTGACAACACATCTCTAAAAGCAATGCATAGAATAAAAAAAGAATTTTGCATGAAAGAAACTTGGCAGGAAAAGTCTCCATATTAATAACACATCTTTGGGTAGGGAAACTATTGATGAGGTTTTTCTTTCAGTTCTTAACTCTTTAAACCTTTTAAATAAGCCTATATTACTTTGTTGTGAAAGACTTCTACTTGTGTCAAAAGTTGAAAATTATGTGTTTGTTGTACTCTTTCAACGTTTATGAAAGTTTGATTTTTTTCCTCAAAGTAAAAAAATTGGGGGAAAAGTTAAATATAAATATCCAAAAGACTCATGGGTCTCTTAAAAGAACACTTATATGTGATTGGGGAAGATATTTCCTGTCTTATTTATGAAAGATGCAGGTACTTTTTAAAATACTTTGCCTAAGCTACAAAGTGAAACCTTTTCAGAGGTCTTAATCTAGTTGCAGTGAACTATAAAGCAGGCTACTGTGTTGATGGAATAAATAATTTTGAAAATAAAATCACATTTTAGGTACTGCTGTAAGTTTATAAGTGTTCAAAGAAGGGACGTGTCAATAGGAATGTATATTGATTTATGCTTTGTTATTAGTAAGATTATTCTTTTATTTTCAAAAGGATTCTTTTCCATTAAAAGTTCGTGGTATCCATTTGATAAATGAGCCATTAATTTTCGATGCTGTCTTTTCCATGATTAAACCATTCCTGACTGAGAAAATTAAGCAACGTGTGAGTAAAACATTCAAGTCACTATTCCTCTGTACCTAACATTTCAATTCTTTTTTATATGAGAATTGTTTTATTATTTCTCCAACCCCCACATACCATTAGCCCATTGTTTTGAGTATTCATCTAATAAGCCAACTACTTAATAAATTAAAAGTTTTTACTTTAGAAAAATCAAGTTAGTGAGGCTGTGGGGAAACTGGGTCTCTCGTACCTTGCTGGTGGGAGTGCAAGATGGTATATTCCCTGTAGGGGGCAGTGTGGTAACACTTACCAAAATGACAGCCTGCGCACTGCTGGGATTTTATCCTACAGATACACCTGCGTAGAGACAAAATTGCATACACAAGGAGATTGATCGCAGCAAAAGATGGGAAACCACCAAGTGCTCATCACCAGGAAACTGGTTAAATAAACTATGATGCATCTACACAATGGAATACAATAAGATTCGCAGGATGCATTGTAAAGTGAAATAGGAAAATGCAGACTGGTATTTATGGTATGCTAGCTTTTGTATAAAAAGGGGAGAAATCAGAATCTATAGGTATATTTGCATAAAAATCACATTAAAAGGTTATACAAGGAAACAGCCTAATTGGTTACCTAAGTGGAACAGAGTTGAGGTGTAGATGGTATGGATGAGATTCGGGTTGGGAGCAAGACATTTCACTGTGGATCTTTTATCTTGTTTTGATTTCTAGCCATGTGAATATATTGTCTAGGCAAAAAGTAAATAAATATATTTAAATGAGACATGTAACTGAAAACCACAGTACCTAATGTATGTGGCTTAATGTCACATTAGTCAAAGCAGGAGATTTGATGTTCTGTACCCATCCTGTGAAGCCTTCTCTCAGGTGAATATCTAATATCTCTTAGGATTTCTCAAGTATTGAAAATAGAATCTGAGTTCCCAAGAATAGCAACCACTCTTCTATATGAATCTGTAGAGGATAATTTTTAGAGCATTTATGTAGACAAACATTGGCAACATCTAACGCATGAACACAGAACAGTTTTTAAAAGCTTTGACAATTTAAATCTCAAAAATTATTTAAAGATAAACAGTGATAGTGTGAGTAATAATAGCATATTCGGAGTTTTAGAAAGTATACTCTTTCATATTGAGAAAATGTAACATCTTGCATCTGGTCAGAAAATTATGACCCTAGAGCTTCTTTGAGATTATCCAGTGGGTAGTTCTGTTTACAAGAAGAACCACCCCTATGAAGATGGCCATTTTTCATTCTAATATTTTTATAAAAGTCAATTTATTTGCTTGTTCCCTTTTTTCTCTCCTCATCGTAGCTTGATAATAGCTGGCCATTTTCTCTTTAACTCTGACAGATCTAAAAATAAGTATTTCTATTTTGGGTTATATTTGAGACAAATAACAATAAACTGAACCTGATAAATAGGAGAATCTGAGCAAAAAAGAAATAAAAGTAAAAAATTGAGAAGTTAGATAAAGCATTTCAGCGATAGTTATTGCCAAAATGAGGGGAAGGGATCCAGTCTAGCCACTTTTCTCCAATTCAATATTTTGGCAATACCTAATGAATGATTTTATTTCCCACTTCCTGAGGAGACAGTAAAATTTCTTTTCAATTAGCTGATAAACATTTAAACATATCAGAAAAAATCAAAGATGGTACTCTGAGGTTCTGAGTGCAAGAGACTTGCTTCATTCATCTTTCAATCCTCATATCCTAGCACGGAAGAGGTGCTTATTGAATAACTGTCCGATGTTTAGGTGAACGTTTTGCCCTAACAGATGGAGAAAGGTTATTTATTTATTTTTAATGAGATGTGCTTTTAATTGAAGGTTCCAAGTCTTTAACTTCGGGGCATTATATGATCAATTTTTTTTTTTTAAAGATTTTATTTTTTCCTTTTTCTCCCCAAAGCCCCCCGGTACATAGTTGTGTATTCTTCGTTGTGGGTTCTTCTAGTTGTGGCATGTGGGACGCTGCCTCAGCGTGGTCTGATGAGCAGTGCCATGTCCGCGCCCAGGATTCGAACTAACGAAACACTGGGCCGCCTGCAGCGGAGCGCGCGAACTTAACCACTCGGCCACGGGGCCAGCCCCAATATATGATCAATTTTTATAGTTTAAAATATTTGAAAATTTAAGGTTCTTAACCATCATAATTATCTCTTAATTTTGAACCAACCAAGAATATCTATCAACAGTACCAAATAAATTGTTCCCCATGTACCTAGTTGTGTGCTTATATATATGCTATTTTATATTATTATATTTATATATAAAGATATTTATATAAATATAATATATTTATATTAATAATATGTTAAATAATATATTTAATATATATTATAATATAAGATATATAATTTATAAACTCTAACATTTATTATAATTTCTATATATTATATTTCTAATATATTTTATATGTTTTAATATATAATATTTTTATGCTAATATATTATATATATTTTATTTAATAATACTAATACCAGGTAGTGCATTTTTATGATCTACAGAATAGTCCCAGGATATTAGATATTTTGCTAAGAATCACTTGGACATTAGGGAATAGAATGTATAAAATAATTTTATTTAGAGTTTTAAAAATCTACTTTGGAAAGAGGAAAAGAATATCTTTTTATAAATCTTGTATAGTTATAAGAAAGCAAATATAAGGAAACAAAGAGATGATCAAATTCATAAACAGCACAATCTAAACATAAGTAAAATTCTTAGATTCATAAGCAGTGGAATAAATGATGTAGGTGTCTGTACACGCTCTCCTGTCTTGGAAGCTATTAGAGGACCTTATTTTATGGTGTTGATTTTCCATTGAAAATGCATCTAATATATTGAGAGGCAGAGGGCATGCCTTCTAAAACATTTTGGCTGTTTCAGATTCATATGCATGGGAACAATTACAAAGAGAGCTTACTTCAGCATTTCCCAGACATTCTTCCTCTGGAGTATGGTGGTGAAGAGTTCTCCATAGAGGACATTTGTCAAGAGTGGACAAATTTTATAATGAAGTCTGAAAATTATCTCAGCAGCATTTCCCAGACCATTCAGTGAGATGAAGTTATTTATCGTGAATGGCTTCCTAATTAAAAATACGTGAGTGAGATCCTAATTGGTTAAATGAATGAAAGAACAGGAATCTTTTAAACTAGTTAATGCTTGTCTGATTAATATTTAAAAATGTAAAAATCTTTTGACATGAGCAACATGAGTATTTGGGAAACTTCCTTACTTTTTATATGCATTTTCTTTACCTTTGAAGTAATTGAATGTTAGTACACCTTAAAAGCATAGAAGAGATTCCTGATTTTTGCACTTGAAAGAATGCTATCTCTAAAGTAGCTACTCATGTGCACCTTTGTATGTTTCTGAAAAGTTTCATTTTAAACAAGTTCTGTGACTACATTGGTTTAGTAATAAATGTATAAATAGTCCACTGAAAGGAAATATTAGCACAAATCAGCTGATGATAAAAATCTGTTAACACTCATTCTGGGTGGGTGTCAGATTAGATAATTCAGATTAAAATCTGAATAAAGTTTTACAGAGTTATTCCTGCGGGCCAGCAAGACAGTTCATATCAGGGAAATTGTATTTTAGCATATTTCCACAATAAAAACTTTTGATTGAAGTCCACATGCCATAAGCTATTGTATGTAGTATCTACAGGTCTCTATGAAATGACTAATGTTGACACAATTGATAACCAAAAATAATTTAGAAAATATTTCGGGCATAGTTGATGCCTTCTTAATACTGCTTCTGCATTTTCAGACAACTCAAAGATGTAATTTAACCTCTGTTTTTGGCTATTCTTTTCATAACTATGTAGAGACTTAGAGATGAAATAATATTTAGTTGTCACATACATGGACTCTATTTTTAATTGAACAATAGCACAACTATGTAAGGGAAAGAAAATGTTTACATTTTTTAAATGACTGTCAATTACATCTGGAACTCTTCAGATTATGCATGAAGTAATTTGAGTTTTCCTATCATATGAGAATATTCTAGTCAAATCCTACAGTTCATTTTTACTTAAATCATTAATTAAAATGTGCCGTTTGTACTGTAGTTTATTTCATTTATTGGAAAAGATATGTCAATATAACTTTCAATTTATGATGGTTTTTATAGTGTTTTATAATTTTTTAAATTTTATTTTAAACTTGAAACTGAAAGAACATAGAGTGCAAAAATTGTTAAGCAGTTGACTCAGCTTAGTTGGGTTTCAACATTAATCATACAATAGTACCTTTGTGGAAGGATATGCGAAGGATGCTTTTCTTCATAAGAAAATTATTCTAATCACATGAGCTGATACTTATGATTCTCTGTACATATATCTATGAAAAAATTGAGAGTACTTGTGAATGTTCTTTGAATGTGCTGGATTTTAATTTAGCATTGGGAAGCTAACTTTACATTATAATTTGTATTAAAAAATTAGATTGTGCCTATTTTCTAAAAATATGTTAAAGTCTTCTTCACAAAATCATACAATTCAAAATTGTATAATTAAATATAACAGCAGAATAAAACCATTTAAAAAGAATAGACAATAACAGCAACAAAAAGCTCTGGTTTACCCAACTTTTATTCCTAGAAAGAGGCTTAGGTCGCAAAGTTCCACTTCATTTACATTTGGGCACTTAAAACACTTTCTTATGACTCTGAAGGAATGATTACTTTAGCAGATGAATAGAAGATAATATTTTTAAATGTTTTTCAAATGTGATTCATTGGTGATGTTACTGACAGTAAATAGAATTAAAATAAGGTAATCAATAGAAGTGCGTTTCATGATGGGACTTTGAAACTTCTATAAAATGCAACAATTCACTGAAGAACATTAAAAGAACCACGTGAAATAAGCAGGCAATTTTACAAGGTGGCAAGATAAGTAACTAGCGAATTGTCTAAATTACTTTACTATAATTGCACCAAAAGTGCCTTTTAAAAGATTAACTCTAACATGTGCTCTTTGTGTTACTGAACTGCATGATAATTTATTTGTTTTAATATTGCTCAAAAGAAAATAAAGATCTTTCACCTAAATTACAGCTGTTTCTTTTTCATTTTTAGATAAGACTATGTATTACACATTCTTTTTCAAACACTGCTTTTCTGTACAGAAAAGTTTAAGAAAACTTACCACATCTAGTTGCCCATTACACAAATGTCAGTTCTTTCTTTGTGAGTTTTTTATTGCAGGCTGGGGTTCCCTGCTGCTTAGTTCAAAACCATCATCCCCTGACGTTTTTTACCCCCGCTGTGCTTAAAGCGACCACAAGCTAATTTCATAACACTAAGCCAGGCATTCTTAAGAAGTTAAAACTTCTAAATGAAAAAAGCCAGAATGTGCCACTTAATCAGATAATTTGATTTCGAAACAATCTGCTGTTAGCTTAGATCATGATATTATTCGTCAAACAATATACTTTTTTTACAGAAATAACACTGAAGTCCTAGAGCAAATATTATGTTTGGCATTCACTAAATTAAGCTCACAAAACAGGTTAAACATACAAACAACCCAAAAACCCAGTAAACTAGTAAGAGAGTGTTGTCTGAAACATTCCTTATCGGCATTATATGTTGAATTTTGCCATACTTAGATGCTGTGGAGGAACTATGAGTTACAAAGACTGAACTGGAAATAATGGCAATAAAATTAGGATCAGCAGGGCTGGCCGGTGGCTCAGCAGTTAAGTTCGCATGTTCCGCTTCGGCAGCCAGGGTTCGCCGGTTGGGATCCCTGGTGTGGACATGGCACTGCTTGGCACAACAGGCTGTGGTAGGCGTCCCACATATAAAGGAGAGGAAGAAAAGCATGGATGTTAGCTCAGGGCCAGTCTTCCTCAGCAAAAATGAGGAGGATTGGCAGCAGTTAGCTCAGGGCTAATCTTCCTCAGGAAAAAAAAAATATATATCCATTAAAAAAAAATTAAGATCAGCAGCAGTACATCCCCACCAGTCTTCTAATTAGTGTAGGGGAGGAAGACATTTCCTCTTCCCAAATGGGGGTTCATCTGGCTGGAGAACGAATTAAATTCACATGAGACAGAATAGCAAGAGAAAATTAAACAAAGCTTTATGAAGAACCATGGCCCGGGGCCTTTCTTCCCAAAGGAAGAAAGGGCACCAAAGAATTGGGGTGCACACAGTGGTTATATACCCCCAAACAGGGTGTTTCACATGTGATTGAAATGTCCCTCCCACAATAGTCACAAGATTACCCTGTCAGCACAGTGCTTGATGGACACAGCAGGTAGTGGTCTGCTGTCTCAGAGAGCGTAGCTGGTGGCAAGTCGATTGTCTGGAGCTGGGTGGTCACAGGTGAGCTCAGCAATCAGTTCCTAGCCTAAAGAAGGATGCTTAGTCCTTAAAGAAATGCCAAAGTTGCGAGAGGGAGGGAAGTCAGTTACAGGAAGTTACCAGACTAGCACAATAAAATGCAGATTTAAGTCCTTGCTTTTGGTATTGATTAAGAGTTTCTAGAAAGAAGGTCATCTCCTTTCTTCTTCCTGGTACGGAGAGGGAGGCACCTTTACAGATAGAGATTTACCTTACAAATGTAAATGTGTCCTAACAAAGGGCAAGTTCCATTCCTCAGAGCCTCCTTCCCTGTCCCAGTTTATCAAAAGCAATCAGCCTCAAATAATCCTGATGCCAAAGAGATGTATCTTGGGGTGGCCAATTCCAGGTCCCCACATTAGCAAGGACACATACCATCCTTCTCCTGTCCCCATACCTAGCACTCAATGGACTACCTCCTCTTTTCTATCCAAGTCAATCATATTAATCTACTAAATATCTACTTTTGATAACACTGTACATTGAATTAAGTACTACAGTGAATAGGAAAATTAACAGATGATACCTAGAAGAGAGAAAATATATATCCCAAGTAACCAGGTAAAGTGCAATAGAGTGTAAGGTCGTTGGAATGGTTCCAATAAAGTGCTTTGGGAGTTCAACAGAAGGAAAGATAATTTCCATCTGGGGTAATTGAGGATGTGTTCTTAGAAGAGGGAATATTTGAAGCAGAGCCTTTAAGAAGAACTGACTTCCTTGGAGAGCAATGAAGAACTTAGGAGAGGGAGGAAATTCCAAGAAAAGAAATAGCACAAGCAAAGAATTAGATATGAGAAAGAATAGGTCATGTCTGAGAAATAGTAATATAGCTATAGTCACATATTTTTGAAAGGAGGGCATGGGTAGAGGGAGTGGGCCTTTTGCCTAAAAAGATCCATATGAAACAAAATATGGGAAGCCTTGAACGCCAACTGAAGGGCGCTCAAGTGTATGGATTACTTATTTTGTGCTAGCCGCTATATTAGATTCACATACATTATGTTCAATCTTTGCTGTGTCAATGAAAATAATCCATAACCAATCTATAAATGAAAATTTGGGTGAGTTTATTCTGAGCTGAAATCTGAGGACCATGGCCCGGGGCCTTTCTTCCTGAAGGAAGAAAGAGCACCAAAGAATTGGGGTGCACAGAATGGTTATATACCCCCAGAGAGGATGTTTCACATAGGATTGAAATGTCCCCTTTACAATAGTCGCGAGACTGCTCTGTCGGCACAGCGATTGATGAAACAGCAGGTAGGTCTGCTGTCTCGATGAACACAGCAGGATGGCAGGTCTGTTGTCTCCAGCTGAGTGGTTACAGGTGAGCGCTGCAATCAGTTCCTAGCCTAAGGAAAGAAGCTTAATCTTTAAGGAAATGCCAGAGTTGGGAGGGGGAGGGAAGTTGCACCTTTATCTCAAGGGCCTTTGTCCTTGCCATAGGAAATGTATATACAATGCATGCTCAATGGCCACAGTCAGGCCCTTTTGGAAAAAACAAAGTCAGGCCGAATTAGGTTTATACCAAATGGTTTCCTCATATACTCCAATATATCCTATTGCTTGCCATTTTTATTTGTCAGCTGAAAAAAAAAAGGGGGTAAGTGGCTTTATGCTCATTTTTATAGAAGGAAACTGACCTCTGAAAGTGTCCATTCCTTGCTCAGAATCACAGAGCTAGTAAATGCCAAAATCAGACTGAACTCAGCTGGCCTGGCTGTAAAGTCGACACACTCCACAACACCACCATGCTCCTAATAGACCCCCACGCTCCTAATGGACTCAATTCCACAGCCACAGGGATTGATACCCTTCGGACTCTATCCATCCTACCTGGAAATGTCTGACCCTGACCCATTTCTAAGGCTACTCGTCTCTCCTCTGAGCTGCTGTAATAGTCTCCACATGGGATTACCAGTTTCTCATTGTCCCTGCCCTTACACACCCTTCCTCTGCTGTCAGAGATATCTTTCTGCAAGATTTCATTCCCTGAACTTTGAGAGAGCAGCCCTGCACGCAAGGTGAATTGCTCATTGCACCTGAGGCCCTTCACAACCAGGCCCAACCTGTTTTTCCATTTTCACATCGCAGGAGTCCTAACCCCACCTACGTCTAGGCATACCAACCTTTTTATCACTTTGAAAAATATCACCCCTTCCACACAGAACATCTCAGAGTCAGTGGCAAGGGGTGGGGTGTGGGAGAAAGAAGTGTGTGTATTTTATACTCTGAACATTTGCTCTTATTGTTTCCTCTGCTCCATGCCCTTTCCTGCTTTCTCTGTCTGCTCATCTGCAAAGTCCTGCTCACTTGTCACCTCTGTGAAGCCTTCTCTAACCCTCCCTAGTGAGAATTCTTTGCTCCCACTTGTGTGATCCTCTGTGTGAGTGTGTAGTATAGCCCTTATGATGCTGAATTTAGAGCTGTTTACCTGCCTGTCTGCCTGCTAGAAGGTGTTCTTAAATGCAGACGCTGTCTTTTTCATCTTTGGTAGTCAGTATCTAACCAGCAGCTAGCACAGGGTCAGTATCACAGAATGAGACATGACCGAGGGATATTTCTTGTTGCAAGGCTGGGCGACAAGCCATCGGGGGAACATTCACACGGCGTGATGAAGCCCTGCCCTGTGATACATGGAATATCGTTTACTGGGAAGTTGGGCTGACCTCAACAGCCTCCCTACCAACCCTCAGACTTGAATTCCTCTCTCTTCTTTTTCCCTCTCTCTCTTCCTAAATGTTAGCTGTCTTACCCTATTGAGCTTTATTTTTCTCTCAAACTTCAATCCATTTCTGTTTTAAACATCTTAACTAATTGGCTTTCACTTTTCAGTTGGTTTTAAATTTCATTTCTTTTAATGCCACACACATACATACATACAGGCTGGTCCCTATAGAGTTGTTCAGGAGAATCATTAACCATCGCTGAATAAATAAACCCCTGTTGCAATCTGGCTCTTAGGAGGGGCTCCCTCTCCAGTCAACAGAGCTCTTTGGCAGGTTTCCCACAGCAGAGCTTTACCGTGCACCACACCCCTCCTTCTCAGAGCCCCATGCATTTGGGGTGATGTGGGGTGTCTGGAATGGGGAATGGTCAGGCACAGCTCCATGTTGTACTCAATCTTCCTTCCCTGCTGCTCAGTCTCAACCACTCATGACTCAGGCCAACCTGCTTTGAGGAACTTCAGTCTACCTTCGGAAATATCTGAGCCCCAACATGACCTGAATTCAGTATGTAGGTGACATTCTCTGCTCAGTGATCACTGTCAACACCCAATATTTACTCCAAGCTCTTGCCCAAAAAGGACATAACATCTCTAATCATAAAATGCAATTAGCAGCCCTCACATGCCTAGGACATGATGTCTCCCCTGAAGGAAAGACTTTAGTCCTTAAAGAATTAACATCATTATCAATTTCCTTCTTCCTAAGACAACTCTGAGGGTTTCTAGGATTAGTTGGCTATTGCCAGAACTGGATCCCTAACTTATCTGGTATTGCTTCTCCCTTATATACCATGACTAAGGAGGTTGTCCCTGAACCCCTGAATTGGAACTCTCTTTCCATGTCTGTATTTCAAAATCTCAAACCCTCTCCATCCTCTTCTCCTACTTTTAGAGTCCCCAATTACTCATTAACCATTCCCCTTTTTATACATGAAAGAGATGGATACACCTTAGGGGTCCTACCTTCCTTACCACCAAA